ATCTTAGATGGCTGCTCACAGGCTTTTAAGACCCCAGACGCTACTCACCAAGGTAGAATGTAGAACATTGTCTTTATAAACTGTGTTATGCCAATTGAGGTAGATGTTCCCTGAGACCATGGTCCCCACAGCCCTCAGCCTAGCAGTTCAGTCCTTGAGGGAGTTTGAATGTGTCTGTGAAGCTTCTATGACCTTGCCTTGTATAGAGCTTGTCGCTTGTTATCCTTTCTCCTGGTCTTCTCGCTTCCCTTGGCCATGCCTCCTTGGAGGGTGGGCAAGGCAAGGGTAAGACTCAAGCCGCGCAGTGTGACCACTGTCAGTCAGCCTCCCGGTGAAAGCTTAGGAGAGAGTCATTGGTTAAAATGAAATGACTTAACAGTCTGTGAATCTTGTTTATCTATATCCTCTCTGCCTGCTGTGATGACGAATACAGTGAAACCTGTGAGCTGGAACTCAACGAGACTGCCTTGTTTTTCTGGGTCTTGCAAGGTTTCCGCCTTTGACAGGGTGCAGTCTTACTACTTCTTATTGCTCCTTTTAGTGGAATATATTTATGTTTTCCTTCTGTGACAAGTTTCCACCTTATGCAGCAGGTTCTGGCTTTCACAAGTTTTACTGTAAGTGATCTCAAAGTCTCTGGCTAAGGAATCCCCAGAGAGAGTGGATATAACAACTCTACAACAAGCAATTGTTTGTCCTTCATTTTACATTTCTCTAATGTATATATATCTTTAAAAACTAGTATCCATTTTTACTTTGCCATGTATCCTTGACTATCTTAGAAAACTCTGTTTTGTTTTCCAGTTTGTCTTTTTATCCTTCTGGGCACTCTACCTGTATGACCGAGAACTCGTTTACCCAAAGATCCTAGATGGCATCTTTCCAGGATGGCTGAATCACGCGATGGTGAGTGACGGGAAAGAGTGGTGAACGCAGAAATCCAAAAGTCTCTGTACTGAGGGTCCTGGACAGAGCTGGAGAAAAATGTAGAACAAAATTCTAACTCACAAAAAAAGACCAGACTTACTGGCCTGATGGATACTGGAGAAACCCTGAGACTACAGCCCCTGGAAGCCCTTTTAGCTCAGTAATGAAGTCACTCCTGAGGTTCACGGTTCAGCCAAAGATTAGACAGCCCCATAAAATAAAACGAGACTAATGGGGCACACCAGCCCAGGGACAAGGACTAGAAGGCAGGAGGAGACAGGAAAGCTGGTAATGGGGAACCCAAGGTTGAGAAGGGACAATGTTGACATGTCATGGAGTTGTTAACCATTGTCATTAAACAATATGTGTACTAACTGTTTAATGAAAAACTATTTGTTCTGTAAACCTTCATCTAAAGCACAATTAAAAAAAAAGATTTATATACAAAAAAACACACAAAAGTCTCTGTACTGAAGACTCTTAAGGACCTCATTTCTGTTTCCAAACTTCTCCCCAACCCCAGCATCCCTTTCCCTTCTCCATTTCTCCACCCATCACTATTTATTTAAAGAATGCATTGATTGTAGAAAATGAACAAACACCAGTCCTGTAATTGTGGTGCGGTCAATGGGAGTGGAGGGGATGTCCAGGCAAGACTCTTTGCCAGGTTACCCATGACGTCATTGAAAAGACAATGAATGTAGGGGGGTGGTTGAGCAACATGATTAATGTCACTGAACTGACACATGTGAAGATTGTTGAAATGGCAAATGATTTGTTACCTACATATGTACAAAACAAAAGTAAACTTCTATCAACTCAAGATTTTGCAGCTGAATTTAGGAGCCAAGCTATTCTTTCTTAATTTCCTTCCCATACAGTACGTTAACAAAGCCAGAAAACTACAAACTTACTAATAAAAAAAAAAATCTACATCAAAATTAGACTTTTCTTATTGACATGATGTCTATTTGCAATGGATTAGCAAATAAAAACTTTTTTATAAAATAAAAGACATGCAACCGTAAAAGCAGAGACCTTCTTGGTGGCCACAGACTTGAAAGAGAAGCAATGCCAGCAAGTGACATGTAATGCAACTCCAACGCAAGCCTTAGGTATGAAATACAAAAAGCTTTAAAAAAAAAAAAAAAATCCACCCCAGCATCCAAAGACGACCTCACAGCTCAGCAGCAGCTTCTCAGCTAACATTTCATCAGGACAATGCACGGCAAATGGGATTATGACCTACATATTTCCATGACTACATTTCCATTTGATTTTTTATTTACACATTTATTTTTAATGGGCTGATTAGTAAACAGAACTTGTTCTGAGCTGTTCAGTCATTGGTACCTGATTGCCAGTAGCAGTAACCTGGACGAGCAAGGCACAAGGTTGTCCAGGTCTCTGATGGACAACAGAGTCTGAGTTATTGGAGCCACATGGTCTAAGTAATCGTTCAAAGTCCTAGCTCTCCTCAACACTTACAAGTATATTTTCACCTGAGTCAGGGGCTTATGACATCTCGGTTCTGTGAAGCAAATGACATTTAAAACAGGGAAATCACGAAGGAATAGAATGTCAAGGCTCTGTATGTTCAGACTTTCTTATACCCCAGCTCCGCCATCGTCTTAAAATGCACATGATTACCAATTTGGAAAAGCAACTCCAGTACCTCCATGTTCCCTATTAGGCACCCACACACACAGAAGGAAAAAAAAAAAAAAAAAAAACACAACAAAAACAAAGAACAAAATGTATTTTCAGCTTAATGTACACTCAGTGAGAAATTGATTATTGGTTGATTAATATACCCAAGCTCTAATCAAATTTAGAGTTTCGGATCTAAAAGTATATAATAAATCTCACCTTTCTGGGATCCCCCTCCTACCACCTTCCTTTTATCAGACGACCCCATCATCTTCCCAATTTCCATTGTTATTAATCTGAGACACCTTCATAGGGATTATTCCTGCTTTTTTATAGCACTTTACACTGTATGGAGCGTGTTTCTTAGGTGTGAGCTCATGTAAATGCACACAACCTTCTTTAGGTAGCTACTATAATCGTGGTTTTTACAAATGAAAAAAAAGCTCAGAGAGGTTAGGTGATTTCCCCCAGGTCACAGAGCTCATTCTGGTGGTGCAATGGTTAAGCGTTTGGCAGCTAACCAAAAGGTCAGCAATTTGAACTCACCAGCCACTCTGTAGGAGAAAAGACTTGGTGATCTGCTCCTGTACAGATTTCAGTCTATGAAACCCTATGGGGCACTTCTACTCTGTCCCACAGGCATGCTTTGAGTCAGAATCGAGTTGATAGCGCATAACAGAGCTCATAAGTGGCACTGCTAGGATTTAAACCCAAGGAAATTGGCTCTTTGTTGCCTTTTGACAGTGAGTCCAGAACTTGTGGTTCAGTCTGGTTTTGTAATTCACCATGCAAATAAAAAAAAAAGTCCTCTTTGCTTGATTAACATAGTCAAGTGAAAATTCTCACCTTCAAGAATCCCCATCTGTATGCTAATAAGCCAAAACTTAAGGAAGTGAAGTGATTTGAAACAAGTGGCAGAGTTGGATGTTACTAAAATCAAAAAGCACAGTCTTGAAAGTCTCTTTTATTTGGGACCAGACACATGTACCAAATACCCTTTCAAGGCTTTTGTGGGCTCATCTAGTAGTTTCCTTACAACTGAGCTTGCCATCTCTTTGGAGTTCCATTTTCTGCGTGGTAGCGAGGTTGGATTGCCTCCGGATAGATATGATGGTGGCGTCCCGCATTTGTGACCTTATTAAACAGCCATATGGATTTTTTTATACTTTTGGAAGCAGATAGATGGCTAACATGCGTCATATCCATAAGCTAATTAGCAAGGCAGATACTGTACAAGGGAGATTGTTAGTTTTGTGCCTTCACTACCTGGGACTTCTGTGGACCATGCTTTGTTCTTTGCTCAGTGAAGTAAGCTGAATCTGTGAGAGGGAAGGGCTAGGACCAGAGGAAGTGGGACAATGTGACAAGGAAAGATGAAAAGCAGGCAGTATGGCCAGGGTCAGACCAGACTGCTCTGTGCTTCTATTAATTGGAGGAATTCATGACAGGCCATTTCTAGAAAAACTTTGGCATCAACTAGCATTAAACCAAACCAAATGCCTTGCTGTCGAGTCAATTCCGACTCATAGCGACCCTATAGGACAGAGTAAAACTGCTCCGTAGGGTTTCCAAGGAGTGCCTGGTGGGTTCGAACTGCTGACCTTTTGGTTAGCAGCCGAACTCTTAATCACTACGCCACCAGGGTTTCCCAGCTAGCATTAGGTGTCCCTAAAGTTGTTACTTCCTAACTTCATGCTTCCTTTTGGGGTCTCTTCCAAGCCCACTGTCTTGTCCCTCCCCCCAGGTACTGTCCCTTACTTTGGATATTGTGCCTCAAGGAATGCTCTCTGCTAAATTATTATTATTATTATTATGAGCACAAGAATTTTTAAAATTTAAATATTTGTACGTGTCACTTTTTTAATTGACATTTTTATTATAGCAAAATACACATAAATTTACCATTTTAACCATTTTGAAGTGTACATTTCAGTGGCATTAATTACATTTGTAATTTTGTTGTAACCGTCACCACTATCTATTTCCAGAACCTTTTCATCACGCCAAGCCAAGCCTCTGTACCCATAAACAGTAATAACTCTCCATTTCCCCCACCCTCCAGCCCCCGGCAACCTCGATTCTCCATTATGTCTCTATGAATTTGCCTATTCTAGAAATTTCATATAAGTGGAGTCGTACACTATTTGTCCTGTTGTGCTTGACTTATTTCACTCAGCATTATGTTGTCAAGGTCCATCCATGTCGTGGTATGTATCAGGACGTCATCCCTTTTTACAGCTGAATAATACTCCACTGTATGGATGTACCACTTTTTATCCATTCATCTGGGTTGTTTCTACCTTCTGGCTATTGTGAATAATGCTACAACGAACGCTGATGTACAAATATCTGTTGGAGTCCCTACTTTGAATTTTGGGGGCATATACCTAGGAGCGGAATTGCTAGATCATATGATAATTCTATGCTTACCATTTTGAGGAACTGCCAGACTTTTCCCCAGCAGCGGTACCATTTTCTATTCCCACCAGCCATGCTCAAGGGTTTCACGTTCTCTACATCCTCTCCATCTGTTAACTACCTGCAATACTAGTGTGAACTAATATGGAAATGACTGCTACTGGGCCAATTTGTGAACACGTCCCACGTTTTAACAGTGTCAATGACAACACAAGGGAAGTAATACAACGCCGGCAAATTGCCACTGTGGCTGCCGGAGGAATGATGATGGGCATAAGGCTGGACCTTTGGGACGAGTTGTCTCCACATGGGGGCCGGCCCTACTTTCAAAAGGAACACATTCTCCATACTGCGCCTTTTCCCTTTCCACAGTATAAGAAACACTGCCATACATAGCTAGTGTCATGCTCTCCTTAAAGTTTCTTTCATTTTACAATAGCCCTTATGCTTACTATTCTAGTCTTAGCCTTGAAATCTTCCCTGTTGCCATTTGTGATGTTGCCCTGGGTTTTATGAATAGTATTTGTCAAACTAAGAAATAACACTCTCTCCTTTGGACATAATGGTTCTAGAGCTGGCATGACTAATCCCAAGTCCTTGGACTCCTCCCAGCCCCACCCTTGACTCACTGGAAACTTGACATTGCAGTAGGGCCATTCTAAGCTGACTGTCGTCTCGAATGGAAATTTCCTTGCCATTGTTATGTATTCAGACCAAACAGTAACATCGGTGCTGGTGAGATACATGCATTACCCACAGACAAGCTGCCTTGGCTGGTGACCTCAGGGCTGCCTTTGGTACCTGGTTGTCTTATTTAAAGGAGCTCAGCCTGACTGTTTTGTTGCTAACCAGTTCTCCAGTCTTCATGAAAGGAAGGAAAGATTAGCAAAGTATTCCTCCAGGTTTTGCCA